GAACTGGTGACAAGTGCCTTCCCATATACTCTCTAGCAGGGGGTTCTTGATTTACTTGAACTTCTCAAATGGAGAATCACAGCTCCCAGAGATAAGGTTCTAAGACATACGAAGCAAAACCTGCCTTTTTGTTGTGCTTTGGGCCCTGCAACTGCACAGAATCATTTCTGCTGCCTTTTAATGGTCAGAGCAGACACAGGCCCACCAGATTCAAAGGGAAGGAACATCAATCCCACTTCTCAGTGGGAGGAGTATCACAGAATTTGTGGTTATCTTTCCTGTGGTTATGTGCAATACCCTGTGTGTTTCCCTTTCAATTTTGGTCTTTGTGTTTCTACTCTAAGCCTGAAAATCTGAATTTAGTTTATAGTAAAGGAGTTGATAAAAATCCCTTGTTTCTAGTTTAATTCCATTCATTCGTTTTTTAACATACTTTGTTTTCACCTATTACAAAGTTGTGTGTTACAAGAAGCAACGATAAGAAAGCAGTACAAAAAAGTAATCTTCAAAATATGGACTTTGTTGCCTGGCTTTGAAACTTAGCTCCACCCTTTATAAATTATGCAATCTTGAACAACTTACTTGACCTTCAGTTTGTTCTCTTGTAAAGTGAAGATTAGAATGCTCACATGATGTGGCTATTTCAAATATTACATACAATGATGTATATTAAATACTAAGCATATTGTCGTACACTCAAAAGCACATTAGCAGAAAAGAACATTAGCTATGATTAATAGCTCTTATTATTACTCACTGTGTGAGCCTAGTCATTTAATATTTCTAAGACTTTTCTTTTACATATGTTTTTGTTCTGTATAATTAAGAAACTTGATTTTCTTTTTTGTTATGCTTATGGTTCATTACAGTGAAAAGAGACAGAGCAAAATCAGCAAAGGGTAAAGACTCATGGAGAAAAGTCTCAGAGGAATCAGGCACAAGCTTCCAGGTCTCTCCTCTCAGTATAGTGACATGGGGACATAATAAGATAAACATCTGGACAAATTACTACAGCATGGCTCAAGGCCTCAGGCATACAGAAACATTCTTATCAAGCAGAATATTCCAAGGGTTCAGAAATTATCTCCCAGGAGTGTGAAGACAGGCCTTTCTTTGGGAAGTGCAGGAGTTGAACAACCTCGACCAGCTGGGATTATCTTTCCTGCCCACATATTATTAATAAGAAAGAATCTAGGTGCAGGGCATATGGGAAGTCTGTTCATTGTTCCCAATTTTTTGGTAAAAATAAAATTGTTCTAAAAATTAAAGTCTATTAAAAATCAAAATCCAATTAGAACAATAGGTCATATAATCTGATATTCAGGCTGAAAATATTTTAACACTTGTCTTCAAGTTATTTTGTCTAATTAAGATTGTATCACAAGAAATTCTATTGCATTCTTAGCCTAGTACCACTAAATTTTATTTTCCCTTTGTGTTATAAAGAAAAGACTGAATGTTTTATCAATACTAGTTTTGATTCTTATTAGCCAAAAAATTTGATAAGGTCCAAAAGTCCATCAATTGATAAATGGATAAAATTGAATGTTCTTCAGGCCATAAAAAAGAATGTAGCACTGATATATCCTATGGCAAATCTTGAAAACATTTTAAGTGAAAAAAGACATACACAAAGGCCATATGTATATGTATGATTTATGTGAAATTTATGTGAAATTTTCAGAATAGGCAGATTCAGAGACAGAAAATAAATTCATATTTTCCAGAGGATGAAGAGACAAGAAAATGTGAATTGACTGTAAGTGGTATAAGTTTTCTCTTTGGGGTGATGAAAATGTTTGGAGTTAGCGGAAATGGTTTCACAAGATTGTGAACACTAATATCTACTGAATTGTACACTTTAAAGGAACAAATTTTATGGTATGTCATTTATATTTCAATTTTTGAAACTAGCTTTCTCACAAATAAATTAGGTTAAATTTCACTACCATCTGCTGTTCTTTGTACACTAGATTGGCAGACAAATCAATTTTTAAAAATAAGGATAATTCTAATGTATCTCAGCATTCCCTTTGTAAAATTTTCTTAACCTCCTTCCTTTCTCATTTCATTACACAGATATGCATGTAATCCTTTACCTTTATAGAGTATCATAAGGATTAAGATAATAGGAACTCTTCTTTCTCTCAGATCTCCCAACATTGTTGCAACAGTGAAATTCTTATGACAATCATGGCTTATTAGGTCTACTAATATGTGATTAAAATATGTGAGTAGCACAGTAGTATAGAGAGGAAATATAGTCCAACTGCTGCATTTCTACACCTAAGTTACAGCTTATAAATTATTAACTTATCGTTTGATCTGATTGAAAACAACATGGGTCCTTGTTTTGGTACTTGCTTTTTTTGGTTGGTCTGTTTTGCTTTGCATCACTACAGGATTGTGTACAACCAGTGATCGGAGTGTAGTTCCTGAATGTACACACAAGAGCCATCATTTAATATAGAAAACATTGACAACTCCCTGCTTTAATGGAATGTTATAATGTATATTGTGACAAGTGTACTTTATTTCTGTAATATAGTAAAATTAGATTTTTTCCTGATATAAATTATCTTGTATCTTGGTTTAGTGATGGTTTCATTTCTAATCAATTATTTGTATCTTAAATTTTACTGATATTAAAAGAATCCATAATAGAAACAAACTTTTTAAATGATTTATGTATATTATATACAGAAAATAGTTCTAATTGAGCAGCTTATCTTTCACTTGCAAGTTTATGAAAATATAACTATGTCCAAACAAATAAAAAGTAGAATAATCCTTTCTCATTCAGAGAATAAGATTATTTTGACTATTATGAAATGCTTTTTTGTTTTTAATGAGAGAATCCAATCAAAGTACCTCTGAGCTGAATCTTAATAATCAAAACACATTAGCTAGTAACATCACTGATTTATAAACAAACCATTGCTTATCTCTGTTTTCTGAATTCAAAATGTTAAGTTTATCTTACTTGTTTAAACCTGTTTGGGGAAAGGTATGAAGATTAAGCCTGTACATAGGTGTACACACATATTCATACATACAGGTGTCTAAAATTTGGTTTTCTGTTAGAAAGTATCTAGTTTTCATTTATAGAAGGTGATGCTATACAATAAAAAAAAAGGTTTAATTTTTTAAATAAAATTTAATTAATATACAATGTAATATTAAAGGTGGACGTGGCGATTTGCCATGTGTATATATTACAAAATGATCACCAAAATAAGTCATTAACATTCATCACCATGCATACTTACAATTGCTTTTTCTAGTGATGGGTTTTAAATGTTAAAAACTGATTTTTTTTTTTTTTAGTGTTTTCTACAAACTGTTTCTTAAATCACAGACAAATTTTAATTTCTTTTTTTAAAAAATATGTCTTTATTGATTTCAGAGAGAGGAAGGGAGGAGGAGAGAGAGAGAAACATCAATGATGAGAGTCATTGATTGGCTGCCTCCCGCATGCCCCCTGCTGGGGATTGGGGCCCACAACCCAGGCATGTGCCCTCACCTGGAATCAAGCGCAATCTCCTGGTTGCTCAACTGCTGAGCCATGCTGGCCAGGCTTATTTCTGATTTTAGTAAGTCTATCTCAGAGGAGGTAGATATGCCAAACATTATGCTCAATGGGAGTTTAGGTCATTAGTCAAATATAAGCACACACCAAAAAAAAAGTTTTCACAAAGTGGTGAGTTGCAATGCTAATTGACATGGTATTGGCCTGTAGAGAGAAGCAAACCTATTTAATCCAGGTGAGATTTCCTTTGAAGAAAGCTATCTGTGAATGTTCAGTTCTAGCCAAGGCAGATGTCACTACTGAAGATGCATGCATATGTGTATGCCCAGGCATGCCACTATAATAGGTAGTATTAATGGTTAATTCAAGTAAACTATTGTAAGTTGTACAGCAGTAGGTTGTCCTGATACCTTGGAGTGGCCTGCAAATTATCTCTCTACCTCAGGATAGTGGCTTTACTCATAAACCCCTGGCAGGATGGATAATTATTTTTTTCTTTGAATATTTACTAAAATAACATAAAGCTAAAACAAACAGAACTATTACAACAAAGAACTTGGGAAGTTAAATAATTTTTTCTCTGTTTTTCATATTATAGACTTCTATAAATTTGAAATGCTCTTTAAGATATTCACACTGTTTAAGTAATTAAACAAGGTGGCCATGGGACTAAGGTGGCTCTAACGTCTTGGTAGCCTCTGTAATCAAACAAAAACCTAAGGCAGAGTCACTGCACTCAAATCTGAGAAAATGAAACTCAGGAACAACCAATCACAAACCTGGGCCAACTAGGCTTTGTTAAATAAGACAACCACTTAATCGATAGCCAATCAAATGGTTTCCTTGCTCTGCTTACTTATTAAAACCCCTCCCCTAGCTCCTGTTGGCTCATCAACTGCCTTTAGTTGGGCACTGCCCGATTCTAACCAACTCTTGAAAATGTTAATGTGCTTCATTCTTTTAAACGACTAAATGTTGAACTTCATAGCATCTTTAATGCAACGATGTACAACTGCATGTAATATCCCTTTTGCTTGGGTGTACACTGTTTCTCTTTTCATCTTTTAACACACTCTTAAGGATAACANTGCATGTAATATCCCTTTTGCTTGGGTGTACACTGTTTCTCTTTTCATCTCTTTTAACACACTCTTAAGGATAACGATTTCTTTCCATAAAACTTACAAGACTCTTCTGGATTTTATTGATTCTTTCTTAACAAAACTGGGCACGCCGAGGCTTACAGTTGACGCTGACCGTCCCTTCGAGGGGACTACCAATAACCCTTTCAGAGCCTCCCTCTAACTGACGGACTTCAANCTCTTAAGGATAACGATTTCTTTCCATAAAACTTACAAGACTCTTCTGGATTTTATTGATTCTTTCTTAACAAAACTGGGCACGCCGAGGCTTACAGTTGACGCTGACCGTCCCTTCGAGGGACTAACAATAACCCTTTCAGAGCCTCCCTCTAACTGACGGACTTCAGCTTGATCCAGGGATTCGTGCCGCGCACCTCAAAGGGCGGGTGGTCGCTGTAGATGTGATGGGCAAGCTCCTCCAGCGGCGGCTCGGGCTCGGTCGTAGCAAACTGGGCCGCGTCGTCGATTTCTTTCCTCACCTCGGCGTCCACGTCCTTCAGCTCCTCGGCGCCCGCGAGCCCGCCGCTGACCATCTTGTCGCGGAGCAGCATGATGGGGTCGCTCTTGCGCCGCACGCCCTGCACCTCCTCGCGCGCGCGGTAGCTGACGCCCGGGTCGCTCATGCTGTGGCCGTGGTAGCGGTAGGTCTGCAGCTCCAGCACCAGGGGGCCCCGCCCCGCCCGGCAGTAGTCGGCCGCGAACCTCGCCGCCTCCCGCACGCACAGCACGTCCATGCCGTCCACCCGCAGCCCGGGGATGAAGTGGCCTCTCGTGTAGTAGTCGGTGCTGGCCGCCGCCCTCTCCGCGGCCGTCCCCATGCCGTAGAGGTTGTTCTCGCAGATGAAGACGCACGGCAGCTTCCACAGGGCCGCCATGTTGTAGGCCTCGGCGAGCTGGCCCTGGTTGGCGGCGCCGTCCCCGTACAGGGTCAGGCAGATCTCGCCGCTCCCCTGGTACTTGCAGGCCAGCGCGATGCCGGCCCCCAAGGGCCCCTGCGCGCCCACGATGCCGTTGCCCCCGTAGAAGCGCTCGCAGTACATGTGCATGGAGCCGCCCTTCCCCTTGGCGCAGCCGGCGCGGCGGCCCGTCAGCTCCGCCAGGATGGCGCGAGCCGACAGCCCGCGCGTGTAGCACAGGCCGTGCGCGCGGTAGGACGTGATGACGTGGTCGCCGCGCCGGATGGCGGCCTCCAGGCCCACGCAGCAGGCCTCCTGCCCGTCGCACAGGTGGCAGAAGCCGCGGATGAATTTCTGCTTGTACAGCTGGTCCGCCCGGGCCTCCAGGCGGCGAATGGCCCGCATCGTCCTGTAGTAGCGCAGCCCGTCCTCGCGGGTGAGCAGCGCGGTGGCCGGGGGACCCTCTTCCAACCGGTAAAGGTCACACCGCTTAATCTCAAACGTCGCGTCCTTGGAATAGCTGCAGGACGCCCCCAGCATGCTGCCCGCGGGCTTCGGGGCGGCGCCCGAGCGCACGCGGGACACGGCGGCGGCCAGCAGC